AACACACCAACACACACTAACAGACACACACTCACACAGTAACAGACACACACACACACACACACACACTAACAGACACACACACACACACACTAACAGACACACACAGTAACAGACACACACACACTAATAGACACACACTCATGCACACACACTAACAGACACACAATCACACACACATACACACACACTAACAGACACACACACTCACACTCACACACTAACAGACATATACACACACTCACTCACATTAACATATTTTTTATTTATTTAACCCCCCCACTCCCAGCCTCCTTACCTTTGGGAATGCTGGGGGGGGGGGGTTCTCTATCTTCCTGGGGGTGCAGTGGCTGCTGGGCGGTCGGGGGCGCTGGCGGGCGGCTAGCGATGGAGCACTTCCTCTGAGCTGTCTGCTCAGCTCCCTCGCGTGCCACAGAGTGAGCTGAGCAGACGGCTCAGAAGAAGAGCTCCCTCGCCAGCCGCCCGCCAGCCCGCCCGGCATGTCTGTTAGCCGCGAGGCTTGCAAGACATTTGCCCTGGGCATATGGGGGGCGGCTTTTTTTGCCGCCCCCTGGAAAATGACGCCCAAGGCAAATGCCTTGTTTGCCTCGCTGCTAAAACGCCCCTGGTGTAAGGTCAAAACTTTAACTCATTGAGTATCAGAGTTCCATTTCACTCTGCATAAATTCATTCATGATATTATGATTCTACTGGCAATTATTTCAGTTTTGATAATTGTATCCTAAAACATATCTAGTTCATCAGAGCAAACAAAAATGATCTTTTAAGAGCTGATACTTAACAGGAAAAATACTGCCTAAAGGGAAGGAATGACATTAATTCTGCTCTGTAGTATGCATTTACTAATAACATCCACCCTTAAAGGGGACATCTGGTCACCCTATGTCATTTAGTTTTCCCTGCAATGCTGCATATTTTTCCATTTACACAGTCAATATAGTTATATACGTTACTCTAACGGCAGGGGAAGGCAACCATCAGCACTCCAGATGTTTTGGCCTTTTCGATCATAATGCTGGCAAAGCATTATGGGAGGTGTAGTCCACAACATCAGGAGTACCAACGGGTGCCTATCCCTGCATCAAACCCCTGAAAAAGTTAGAATTACTTGAAATGTGACAACTGTAAATGTGACAAGCTGCCAAAAAAAATGATTATCTGCTTAAAAATAATATATCCAAACTATGTCATAGCTCCCTGCTCTTTCATACATATGCTACTAGCAAAAATAGATCCGTTTCCATGGCGTTCTGAAATTGTACTGTGTACTTTTTCTTGATATGAGTCACAGATATTAGTACCAAGCCTTCTCTTAGAGGAGTGTTTCATTTCTGTATTGGAATTACCTCACAAAACTGCAGTTCACATCACCCACAAATAGCTACTTTACACAAAATCTAACCTATGCACCCTTATTGCCGAACACAAAGCAGAAGGGGCAAAAATAATAGCGACCTGAAACATAAATATCTGGTGAAAAAAATATACATCATTAAATAAGGTATGAATCATCATTCAGTAGACTGAGAATTGTATTTAACTGTCATCTGTGAAGAAAAAGAACATTTGGTGCCAGAATCTCTAAACCGGAAAAGTTACCCAAAATATTGTATCTTTTATATTTTTTATTTTTTTTCACAAAATCTACAAATCAGGCAATTGTTCATTGTTTGCAGTTTAGTGAACCTACCCCCCTCCCCCTATAGTATGTATCTGTTCCGCAGATAAAGCCATGCAATAGAATTAAGAAGTGATCATAAATAAAATTTATATAAAACAATATACTATAAATAGAAATGAAACGATGTGCAGGTAATGTGAAATATTTCATACTGGAATATTTAAAGTGATACTGCCACTTGGCATTTTTTTTTTTACAAAGACCACACATGTTGACTTGCCTATTTGTGTGGAGGTGGTGAGGAGGGAGCAGAGAGGGATATAAGCTTACCTTAAGATGCCCCTAGTCAGAGATGCCATCTTCTTGCTACAATACATTTTTGGCTTCTGTGACTTCATCAGTTAGCAGCCATTGTAACTTTTATTTTCTTGCTGTGACTTTATCGGCTAGCGCCATTGTCACTATTGTATGCTTGCACTTTACATAAGCTCACAAGCACAGCTCATAAAAAAATATAGGTTGTAGAGAACTATGATGCTATTTGTGTTATACTCTGTTTGCAAGACACACTCTATTAATTCTCATTGAGTCATAGTTTATATATATTTCTTGCTACTTCATTAATAAAGTAATACAGATTGTCATTCCAAAAATCGATACGCTGAGAACCAAACTCATTTTTATTTGGTGATTAGTGAATTGTAGAATATAAGTAATTCAGTGTGAATTTCAAATCTGAGGGCACCATACCTGTATTGTAAACATTCTCCCAATCAGCTATGTATTCAAGTGAACTATTGTGGTATCTCATTGGAAATTCCCAACAATTTAGTGAATAATTAGTGAATAAATCTCTCTCTCGGTGATGGCAACAAGAGTAGTACTTGCTTCAATCTATGGGGAAACATTCCAAATCCCCAAACAGCTATGATTTAGCTATTACGCAAGTATCTAGAACTTTATTCCAGTACGCAATTCAGGAGGTCATGTGCATCTGTGTTAGGCCTCGTTGGTGTTTATTACTGAGTTCAACTGCTTAGGCCATCTGCCAGTGCAGACTATGGATTCCATGCTGCCCTGTTATACAGACATCCTTAACAACTAGTTTACATTGGGTTAGTCCCAGTATTATTTAAAAAACATCTAAGGTGATGATGGAGTGCATCTTTGCACAAATAAACACCACCACGATGTACAGCCTACATCGACAAACGCATGTTTTATTGACTTAAAGGACCACTCTAGGCACCCAGACCACTTCAGCTTAATGAAGTGGTCTGGGTGCCAGGTCCTTCTAGGGTTAACCCATTTTTTCATAATTATAGCAGTTTCAGAGAAACTGCTATAGTTATGAATGGGTTAAGCCTTCCCCCTAATCCTCTAGTAGCTGTCTCATTGACAGC